GTCGGGGGAGGGGGTGGGTAATGGCCCAGTCTCCTTGCCTCTTGGCAGGACAAACTGTGGGGTGTCTCTCACACTCCAAAGCTCCCTCTGAGTCAGGCTGAAGGTAGACTGTTCCTAAAACCACATTTTTGCTTAGCTTCTTCCTACATCCTATTCTGCCTTCTTTACCCCTCAATAAATAACTTTTACAGACATCCCTGTCTTGGGCTCTCCTTCTAACAGCCTGACCTACAACCTCCTCATTTTATCGATGAGGACACGGAGGTACCAAAGGACAAAATAACCTGACCAAATCCCCTCGGCTGGTAACCAGGGGACACTCAAACCCAGGGCCCCAGCACCAAAGCATTTGTTCTTATCTAGAATCATTGCCCTGCCCTTCATGGTGTCCCCATCCTGCTGAGGGAAGCTGGCCTGCCAAGAGGAAATGACAGTGCAGAGTGGCAAGGCCTGCAATGGCAGGAGAAGGACAGAACGCTTAGGGGTGAAGCCCAGGGGCCTGGCTGTGACTTGGTCGGGAAGACTTCCCTGGGGAGGGAGCAGGAGCTTGGAGGAGTGTGAAAGGCCAAAAGAAAGGGAAGAAAGGGAAGGGTGTTTGCGCAGAGGAAGGCGGATGTGCAAGGCAGGGCGTCCTGGAACAGGGTGGAAGGTGGGGCTGCGAGCGTTGTCACGTTGTGTGTGAGAACCAGATGGTGAAGCGCCACGGGTCTATTCCTCCTGTGGACCTTTCTTGGACACCTGACGTGGAAGTCCTATTAACACGGCACAACTTTAGCTTGGAGGTGGGGGGCAGCTGAGAGGGCCAGCTCAGAACTGAGTCTCAGAGAGAACTCTGGCCATCCGTGTGTGCGTGCCATGTGCATGGGCGCGCGTGTGCACGCATGCAGACTGGAGGTGGGGGCTCTCCAGACAAAGGGTAGTCAGGGCAAAGGCCTTGGGCCGCGGTGAGGGAACCGGGTCTGAGTTCTCCGCTCCTCCCTCTAACCTCTCTGCCAACAGCCCTTCCAGGATAGTAGGAAAGAGTCCCCAAGAGCACAGCCATGAGGGCGATGGAAAGGAGTCTCGTCTGCTATAAAACTGAAGCCAGGGTGGAGTGACCCTCCCATGCAGACCTGTCAGGGAGACCAGAACCTGACGAGGCCTCCAGGCACAGCCGTGCCCTTTCTTTTCTTGGACCTGGAGCAGCGAGAGCCGTGGACTGCAAATCCACATGCCTGGGTTCCCTCTGGGTGCTGCTGTGTGACTCTGGGCTTTTCACTGCCTGTCTCTGAGTCGCTGTTTGATCGTCTTGTCCAGGGATGCAATGGTGATTTTCTTACGTAGCACTCAGGACTGGAGGCCAGAGGCCCTGTGCTAAAATGCAAATATGAAGGCTTGAGAGTTTGTTGGGTTCTGTTTTCCTTGTTGCATTAACAATTACTGTAGACCAGTAATTGATCTTTATGCATTTGAACATGAACCTCGAAAGTCATATGTAAATCAAAACTGCTAGCCATCCATGGAGAAATTGGTAGAAGCCCTGTGACTAAGAATGTTTCTCTTGTTCTTTGCTGGATACCCCAAACCAAAAAATTATGAACATAGGAGACTTGAATGACAATCAGTAAAGTCGATAGATGGATTCAATTTTTAAAAACTAATTTTGATTAGATAATACACACATACGATATAAAATTCTAAAGGTTCCCCTCCCTGGGGACAATGACTATTATGAGTTTCTTCCAGATAGTCATATATTTAGAAATATACACATTTATCTTTTTTCCTTACACAAATGCAGCTTAGTTTATGTCCTGTTCTGCCCTTGCTCTTTTTTTTAAAACTTAATACATCTTGGACATGGTTCCATGTCATTCCACTTAGTTCTGTCTCTTTTTTGATGTCTAGGTTGGATTTCATTGTATGGATGTGCCATTATTAAACCAGTTCCTCTTTGATGGACATTTGGGGGTTTTCCAACAGGTATGTGATGCGGGCCACCTTTTAACCTGACGATCTGGCCGTCTGTGGGGGATGCTGAGGGTAGGCAGGAAAAGGGAGACCAGCTCCCCTGGTCCAGGAATCCAGGTGAGAAATGCTAGGTATAGTTGGTAGCAGTGAAGGAAGGAAGTGAGATTCTGCAACACGCTTGGAAAAATTAAGCCATCTTTGGCCTGAGCTCGAGGAAGCATGAAGCTTCCCTTCACTGAAATGGGAAATAGTCCCAGGAGCTGGCAGTTGGGGAGGGGACAGCCGGCTCTCAGTGTTGGACTTTGAAAGTTTTAAACGCATCCGAGGTATCCGAGAGGAGTTGTTGTGAGAATTAAAATATATAAGGACTAAAGGCACTTGCCTGGCATTTAGCAAATATTCACTACTTTATCTGTTCAACTCTTTCAACCACTTTTCCCATGAAAATGTAGTTTTGTCTTTATGACACACACAAAAATGTTAAAGTAAAAAGTAGAATAAAATATGTCCTCCGTATGTATGAATTACTTTTTAATTTGATTTTCAGTCTCTGTCATACATTATGCAGATATTTATCCTCATTTATTGCCTCCTTAAGTCCATTTTAGTTTTATTAGTCACGTTATATAGAGAACTTACATTTCTGAGAGCCATTACCGGTCATTTCTTGTGCTTACTCACCATCGTGTATTTCTCTTCCTTACGCATTGGGGAAATGTCTATTCTACTTTTTAGTGTCAATGTTCTTCTGGTTTCTTAAAAAATCAAAACACGCCTATTAAAAAGTCCGAATGGTACAAAGTGGTCCAAGAGTGTGGTGTAAAGTGCTCTCCTTTGCCTGTGTCCCCAGGTCCCCTCCCCAGACAATCTTGTCACTGGTTTCTTGTGTAGCCCTAAAGTTGGTATCTGTGTATGCCAAGACACACACAAACACACACACACACACACTTAAAACATCCATGGGCTACAGCCTTAAAAGTCTGAATTGAATTACTGGTCTATTTTGTCGCCTTTTTCATTTGGCATAGTGTTTGTGGTTCTCCCGTGTTATGGTATCAGTACTTTGTTCCTTTTTAGTGTTGAATAATATTCCATTGTGTAGATCGACCATATTTTGTTTATCCATCCATGAGTTTGCGAACATGTGGATTGTTTTTGCTTTTTGGCTCTTATGGATAATAACATTTGTATACACGTTTTCGTGCGGATGTATATTTTCATTTCCCTTGGATACGGGCCTAGGAGTGGAATTGCTGGGTGATATGGTAACTCTATGTTTCACACGTTAAGGAACGGCCAAACTGTTTTCCAAAGTGGCTGCAGCATGTTACATTCCCACCAGCCGTATATAAGGGTCTCATCTCTCCACATCCTCATCAACGCTTGTATTGTCTTCTCTTTCAATGTTCATTGTAGCCATTTGACGGGGGTGTGAAATGGTATCTGGCTGTGGTTTTAATTTGCCCATACAGAACATTTTAATTTAATTACTTAATTAAAAATAATTCTTTACATTTAAAACAGGTATGTCTATGTGTTTTCCTGCTATGGATTTTTCCATATTTTATTTTCTCAATAGTATTGATTAAATGGTGATTTTTTACTGTGTGTAAAGCTAATTTGAACTATTCTATTCCTTGGGTCAATTTTATTTTATTTTATTAGTTTCAAGTATACAGTACATTGGTTAGACATTTATATAGTTTATAAAATGACGGGTCAATTTTTTTTATTTATAATGCAGTACCATAAAGTTTCAGTGATGGTCACTTTATAATATGCTTTATTTACTGCCCATCTCACCCAATAAATAGTTTCTGATATAATAGTTTCTTTTCATCTAATTCTAACTTCAAATGTTTATTATGAAATATTTAAGGCATACACTTATTATATCTGCCCTTTTTTGTCTAAATGGCTGTTATTATAATTTTAACAAGTTCTCTGAAGTATCCCATTGTAATTCAGGTAGCCTTAAATTTATATATTAACTTAGAGGGTTTTTTTTTTTTCTTTTCCTTTCTATGGTCACAAGCAGGTTTTCCTTCACTCAGAATACCATGGTCCGTGGCTTACACAACGCACATTCATTTCTCACAGTTCGGGAGGCCGGGAAGGCTAAGATCAAGGTAGAAGTCCAAAATCCAGTGTCTGGTGAAGGCGCTCTTCCTGATTTGCAGACGGCCACCTTCTCTTTGTATCCTCACATGGCAGTAAGCAGAGAGGGCGAGGACGCCAGCTCTCTCCTGCCTCTTCAGATAAGGGTTCTCCACTCACACGAGAGCGCCATCCTCACAACCTAATTACCTCGCAAAGGCCCCATCTTCAAATACCAACACACTGGAGACTTAGGCTTCAATATATACATTTGAGGGGACACAAACATTCAGTCCATAGTAAGGCTTTATCTCAGTTTGCTCATGCCTATTTCTTCTGTTAGAATGTGACAGTTTTGTTTATAAATGTATCATGTAGAAGCCCCAGTCCCTCCCCAGCAGGAGGGACCTAGGAAATAGGACCTATTTCTGTTCTTATTTCTAACTGCAGTACTTATCTCATTAGAATGCTCTACTTATGTGCATTTATCTAAAGTTCTAGAATTTCGTACTTACCTTCCTCGTCCCTCATAGATACACAATTAGTACATACCCTGATCTTTTTCCTTTTATTCTTCCATGCACATTTGAGCCATCTTTTTCCTTGTCCATATTCCATATTGTAAGGCAAGATCTCTACAGTTGCATTTCATAGGCATGTGTGCCAGAGCACCGTTTCATGGTGCTCTTGGTGGGGCAATAATTGATGCCTCCAGGTTTTCTTATTAAGAAGAATGTTTACTCTCGATCGCTTAAAAACTACTTCATAATGTAACAAGAAAGAAGATTACAACTCTTAACTTTTCTGGAGTCTTATTGGGAAAGGAAGTTGGCCTCTATGGTGAGGTTTATGCCATTTTCATCCCAATAAATAAGCTGTAATAAGTCAGCTGGATTTGAAGGGTGCACTGTAATGCCACAAGTCACTGTAAGGTGATTATTCAAGTTAGTAGAGGAAGGGAGGCCTCCTCTGGGCCAGATGTGACAGGAGGTGACCCCAGGGAGGGTCGAGCAGTGCACGGTCCAGGGACAGAAAAAGCAAGAGTCGGGAAAGAACAGGATCTGAGCATGAAGGCGAGGGGACCGTGTCTGGGTCGCATGCCCTCAGAGGTGTCTCTGGAGGCAGGGGTGAGGGCTGGTACCCTCTTGGATTTTGGAATAATGGGGAAGCACCCTGTGTCCTCTCTTCTTAGGGGTCTACCTGATGGAAACAACCTGCAAATCCAGCTCAAGACACAAGACTTGGCCCGGGTGTCCATGAGACCCTCTCCGCAGACACCCTAAGCATCTATGATGAACCAGGAAGCCAAGTAGGTGGTCTTCGCCCTTGGCCTCCTCTCTTGCCCTCCCATTCACTGCTTCACTACCCCCTACTGCCAAGACTGCTCCCTATCCAGATTTACCCCACTGCGCTGCCCCTGACACAACAAACCTACCCTGAGCCACCACTCAGCATGAAAGTGGCAATCACGGGACCAAGAAAATCAACAAGGGTCTGAGAAAGCATCTAATCTATCCATTTTATAGATGATGTGACCGAGGCCCAGATAGGGAAGAGTCTTGCTCAAGGTTATACTATTAGCGTATCAGCTAAAATAGGCTAGTTTATGCTGCAGTAACAAACAACCTCCAAAGTCGTGACTTACTACAACAAAAGTTTGTTTCCTGCTCCTACTTCTGGTCTATTGTGAATCGGCTGGGACCTCTATTCCACATTATCCTCTTTCCTGGACCCAGAAGCAGCCAAGCTCTGGAGTACTGTTGGTCCCTGTGGGAGAGAGAGAGAGAGAGAGAGAGAGAGACAGAGACAGAGACAGAGACAGAGATATTTCCTTTTGGGAATTCTATTATTCATGTGCTCAATATCCTGTATCTGCCGTCTGAGTCCTGAGTCTGTTATATCATTTTCTTTTTATTGAGAGAGAGAGAGAGAGAGAGAGAGACAGAGAGACACAGAGAGAGACACAGAGAGACAGAGAGACACAGAGACAGAGACAGAGAGAGACAGAGAGAATGGCAGATCACGCATAGGCTCTTTGAAACTTGACACAGGCCATTGTTTAGGCCATTTCATTGGCCAAAGCGTTACCTGGCCTTTTCTGATTTCGAGGGGACAGAGAAATGCAGTCCTACCAAGGACCTAGAAAGAGGAGAAAGAATGTGTGAAGACGAGCGACGGAGCTGGGACAGGAACGCTGGTTTCCTAACCCTGGGGCCGAGGGTCTTTCCCCTGTAATCCTCGGCCTCCAAGGCTCTTTCCCACAGGGGTCTCGGTGACCAATAATGATGCAATGTGCTTTTTCTCCCAGGATGGTTAAAGAGCTTGACGTCCCACCCCAACGGGATAGAGCACGAGGGGTGAAAACTAAGGGAGTGAGTGAGACTGGCTGGAGGGGGAGTTTAAGGATAAAGAAATGATGCCATCTAAGGCACGCCTCACTTCCACCTGGCACCTTGCTGCCCTGGATGACTTCTTTATGGGCAGCATGGACTTTGGACACTATAGTCTGGAAAAGAAGCTGTGCCCTAGGCCATGGCCACATCCTCTTGTCAGGATCACACACAGTTCAGGGATATAGCCCTCGTCCGGTATCAGCTGGGGCTCCAAGGCCTTGGAAATTTACTGGCTCAGATTAAGAAATCTCAATTCTGTGTCTGGCTCTGCCATAGACGTACGGTATGACCTTTACCCTTCCCTGGCCTTAGTTCTTCCGTCTGTTCAGTGGGGATGATGATCCCTGTCTATCCCATGGCTGTGAACATGTTTCGTGAATTCTAAAGCTCTGACTGGGGAGGGATGATGAGAGGGGGCTGGGGACACATGCCTAGTAGGGCTTTTCTAGGGGTCAAAGGAGCAGCTGGGGTCTGAACCCCGGACACATTGTTCTTGCCCCAGCCTCTGATAATTGGTGTGGCCGGCTCCTAGTGGGCCTCCCAGCCCTTTTAGAGTTAAAAGTGGGAGTCTCTGGATTGTCAAGATTATATGAGACACATACAGCATTTATAACAGTGTCTAGCCCTAAATTACAGTGGTTTAAACAGAATAGAAATGTATTTCTTTGTCATTTAATAGAAGTTCAAACGTTCTTGCCCCAGCCTCTGGTAATTGGTGTGGCTGGCTCCTGGTGGGCCTCCCAGCCTTTTTAGAGTTAAAAGTGGGAGTCTCTGGATTGTCAAGATTATATGAGACACATACAGCATTTATAACAGTGTCTAGTCCTAAATTACAGTGGTTTAAACAGAATAGAAATGTATTTCTTTGTCATTTAATAGAAGTTCAAAGTCAGAGAGTCCAGGGCAGGTGGAAAGCTTCCCCGGGGAAACAATCATAGATGTACACAAAAATTTTAATTATAAAGCTGTGCACTCCCCCCGCCCACCTTCCGAAGCACTGGCTTCCACCTCATTATCCAGTATGGCTGCCCAAGGTTCAGCCATCCCATTGACATTCTAGCCAACAGAAAGAGGCAACGAAGGACATAAAAACACTTCCATCTACATCACATGGGCCAAAACTTAATTACATGGCTACATCCAACTGCAAGGAAGGCTGAGAAATAGAGTCTATTCCCAATGACCAGGGACTATCCAGGGGCTCTGGGTCTAAGGAACAAGGGGAGAACAGATTGTGGGGGACAACTAGTTGTCTCTGCCAGGAGCTTAACTGACACAGAGCAGCACAAAAGAGTCCATGGAGACGAGAATGAATAAAGCATTCTCGAGACACCATCTCTAGGAAATGAACCATTTCAGAGCCAGTTCGCAGGCACAGCTTGGGGGTGGGGGTGGATGCAGAAGAAGGGGATTAACCTCTGGACATGGAGACTCCACGGAGAGGCCACTTGTCAGCCTATTGCCTGCCCCTCGGATGTGTGACTGCCTTCCTTGGCTTCCCTCCAGCCGACGTGTCCCACTGCTCACCTGTCCCCCCAGTTAACCTGTCTCCCACTTCAGCTGTTGTCTAGATTACCTGCCTACTCTGTCTCTGCAGGGCCAGCTCCTCATGGACCCCATCAGCCTCCAGCTGGACACCGAGAACCTAGGTTGCCTCGTGAGTCTGCTCAGCGAACACCCAGAATGGCTGAGTGCCAAGGTCAAGTTCTTTCTCCCCAACAAGGACCTGGGCTCCGGGAATGAGGCCCTAGAACTCAGGCAGACAGTCTCCCTACAACTCAGGGAACTGCACGCCCAAGGAACTGCTACATGGCAGAAGTTCATCAACTGTGTGTGCATGGAGCTGGATGTGCCGCTGGACCTAGAGGTGGTGCTGCTGAGTACCTGGGGCCACGGAGAAGGTAAGGGTGGACGTGAGAGGTGCAAAGCAGCCTGCTGGACGCCATGTCACAGGGAGTCAGGCCCAGAGAAGGCCGGGATCCACCTGAGTCACACAGAGACGGCGCAGCCAAGCCAGGAACAAAATTACATGTTTCTGGATGCTTCCCAGAACAAGTTCGCTAATGCCACCAAAATAGCTGGGGACCTGGAGGGCTCTTTCCACCTTTTATTACCCTACCCTAGTTGCCCGCGGAGGCAGGATGCATAGCGAGAAAGGACCAAGTGGCTCCCTCCAGCCAGGAAATTCCAAATAGCTCATAATTCCCAAGAGGTTTCTTGCAAAGTGGTCAGAAGCAGTCATAGGGAGAGCCTTCTGACCTCTACTTGTGACCGGGGCAGATTGAGTCTGCTCAGTTCAGAGGGCGTTTCTTGGGTACCTTCTACTTACAAAGCACCGTGGGGAACAGTAAGAACTCATTCAACAACTCTACCACAAGGCACCGTACAGGAAATGCAGGGGGTTCACCGTGTGCACACGTGTGTATACACAGGTGCATGCATGTGCACAAACACACGTTACATGTGTGCATGCATGCGTAAATATGTGCCTGCACACACATACCTATATATGCACAAACCAATACATACACACATATTTCTGCTTTCTGCTACCGTCAAGGCTCACCACCAGCTGTGCCCTCCCCAGATCGCTAAGGTAAACTTCGTTGCTCCCTTGCTGGGGACCCACCCTGAGGAATGAGCCCTGAGCCAGACATCAGGGCAGAGCTGATCCCAGGATATCCCACCACATCTCCATATGCCCTCCCCTCTCTTTCAGGATTTCCTAGTCCTTCGGAAGCTGATGAAGAAAGCCAACCTGAATCTCAGCTCCACCATGGTGAGGCCTGGGGTTGGGGAGCCAGAAGGGGATGGTGAGCATGCTAAGTCCCCACGTCAAACCTGGAGGAGGCTGATGGTGGCTGGTTACATCCATTTCCCATAAACCATTTTCCTCATTCCTTGACCCATTTGCACATGTCCCCTGCCCCTCACCATGGCTCCCAGTTCCACCTCCTCCTGTTCCGTGCCCCTCAAGGCTTTGGCCTGTCCTGGAGGTCTAACCTGGAGTCTTCTGGGAGAGCCCGAATTGTCAGCCCATGGCACTGCCAGAATCCTTCGTCTGGTTTCACTTGGGGAAGCCTGTTCTCATTTCCCTGTCCCCAAGCTTCTGGGCCTTGTGCTCCAGCCCCACAGACTCAGGCTCCTCACCATTTGGAGACCTTGGGCCTGTCACTGACCCATGGACTGCTGTCCACACCCAGAGAGCCTCTGACTGATTTTCTGATGGAATGGTGGCCCCGTCACCAATTCGTGGGCCACACTCTATTCTCAGAAGCTCTTTTTATTGTGGTAAAATACACATAATATAAAATTTACCATCTTTACCATTTATAAGTGTACAGTTCAATCGTATTAAACATACTCACAGCTATCATTACCATCCATCTCCATAACTCTTTTCATCTTGTAAAACCCAAACTTCATGCCTGTTGAGCAGTAACTGCACATCCATCCATCTCCTAGCCACTGGTAACCACCATTTCACTTCCTGTCTCTTATGACTTTTACTGCTCTAAGTACCTCATATACGTGGTATCATTTTGTGACCGGCTTATTTTACTTAGTATAATGACTTCAAGATTCACCCACATTATAACATGTGTCAAAATTTTCTTCTTTTTTAAAGCTGAATAATATTCTGATGTATGTATATACCACATTTTACTTATTTGTCTGTCGATGGACACTTGGGTTGCTTCCACGGTTTGATTATGGTACACAATGCTGCCGTGAACGTGAGGGAACAAATATCTCTTCAGGACCCTGATTTTATTTTTTTTGATTTTATATCCAGAATCTAGGGCCTTATGGTAGTTTCATTTTTACTTTTTTGAGGCACCTGCATACTGCTTTTCACAGCAGCCGTACCATTTTACAGTCCCACCAACAGTGCACGAGAGTTCCGATTTCTTCACATCCTCACCAATACTTATTATTTTCTGTTTTCTTTTTCTATAGTAGCCATGGTAATGGGTAAGAGGTGGTATCTCGCTGTAGTTTTGATTTGCATTTCCCTAATGATTGGTGATGTGCTTATTGGCCGTTTGTATATCTTTTTTGGAGGAAGGTCTGCTCAAGTTGCCTGCCCATTTTTGAATCGGGTTGTTTTTTTGTTGTTGAACTTTAGAAGTTCTCTATATATTATGGATATTAATTCTTTATCAGATATACATTTTTCAAATATTTTCTCTCATTCTGTGAATTGCCTTTTACTCTATCTATAGTGTCTTTTGATGCACAAAATTTTTAAATTTTCATGAAATCCAATTTGTCTATTTTTTCTTTCGTTACTTGTGCCTTTAGTATCCTATCCAAGAAATCATTGCCAAATCCAATGTAGTGATTTTTTTGTCCTGTGTTTTTTTTCTAAGAGTTTTATTGTTTTAGGTCTTACATTTAGGTCTTTGGTTCATTTTGAGTTGCTTTTTGTATATGGTGTTAGGTAAGGATTCGATTTTATTCTTTTGCATGTGGGTATTGTTTTCTTGGCACCATTTGTTGAAAAACTGTCCTTTTCCCATTGAATAGTCTTGGCATCCTTGTCAAAAATCATTTACAAGCAAAGCTTTATTCCTGAGCTCACTATTCTATTCCATTGGTCCATATGACTGCCTTTACGCCAATACACACTGTTTTGAATACTGTAGCTTTATAGTAAGTTTTAAAATCAGGAAGTGTGAGTTCTCCAGTTTTGTTCTTTTTCAAGAGCGTTTTGGCTATTTGGGGTCCCTTGAGATTCGATGTGAATTTTAGGATGGGTTTTTCTATTTGTGCAAAAAAAAGGTGGGGGGAGCGTAATGGGGTTTTAATAAGGATTACATATGCAAGGAATCTGTAGATTACTTTGGGTGGTATCGACATTTTAACAATAGTAAGTCTTCCAATCCACGAACATGGAGTGTGTTTCCATTTATTTATATCTTCTTTAATTTATTTCATCAGTATTTTGTAGGGTTTTTTTGGTACAACTGTTTCACCTTCGTGGTTAAATTTCTGAATATTTTGTTCTTTTTGATGCTATTGTAAATGGAATTGTTTCTGAAATTTCCTTTTCGGATTGTTCATTGTTCATGTCTGGATATGTAACTGATGCTTGCATACTGACATTGTATCCTGCTACTTGGGTGAATTCATTTATCAGTTCTAACAGCTTTTTGTGTGGAGTCTTTAGGCTTTACTATAAGATAAGATTATATTATCTGCAAACTGATATTTTACTTTTCCCTTTTCATTTTGGATGGCTTTTATTTCTTTTTCTTGCCTAATCGCTCTTACTAATTGCTCTAGTACTATGCTGAATAGAAGTGGAAGGAGGCACCCTCACCTTGTTCCTCATCTTAGAGGAAAAGCTTCCGGTCTTCCACCATTGAGTGTGGAGTTCACAGTGGGTTCGGAACCTTTATTTCTATAGATGTTTGGAATTTTTGCTTTTAAGTATACATGGCAGTAACAACAGGCTTCAACAGAAAACACCCACCACATAATCCCAGCTCCCCGACAAATCAAAACTGTTTGTCCTGGTCCCTGGTCCCTTCTGGCCCTTATCACTGGGCTATCTTTGCCCAGTCCCTAAGCGAGGATACACTTATCTGCCTGCTTCCTGTTTATGGAATGGAGCTCCCAGAGGTGCTGGGCACCTCCTCAGCCCCCAAACCTCACGCCTTACTCTTTCCTTTATTCTTTCCAGGCCTCAAGAGGCCTCATCAGAGCTGTGAGTCCTCCCCCTGCCCGAAGCAGAGCAGGAAGCAGCAACTGGGTAGGTACCAAGGTGGGAAGGGACTCAGACACTGGGATTGGATTGCCTTAGGGCCAGGGCACAGATCCTGGACTCTGTCCCCTGCTGACCAGCTTCCAGGGGCCTAATGACTCTTATAGTCCAAGCTTCCATGAGAGAAAATCAGAGGTCCTGAGTAGGCAGAGGAGAGGGCCGAGTATGGCAAGGAGGGGCCTCCTCCAACAGGTCACAAGGGGGCTTCTCCGGAGATGGCTCAGCTGAAGGAGCCGGAAGCACCCCAATAGGTCACAGCTTCATCATCCAACCTCTTATAGGGACACCCCATGTCTTCAGGGTTAAAGGGTCCCCGGGGAGGTGGCCAGCGTTACCTCAGGCCTGGGACCTCATTGGCCAGTTTAAAAGTGAGCAGGCTACCAGAGGGAACCCCACCAAGGCAGAAGCCCTTAGGGCCCACAGGGAGACGTGGGGGCTGCTGAGGCCCAGCCAGGCCAGGGGAAGTCAAAGAGACAAAGCCCACATTCTCTGCTAGTTGTCCAGAAGAGTCCTTGTTCTTGACCAGTTGTCCCACCAGTTGGGAAACCTAACCCCCACGGGCATAGCCAGAGAATTCACAGGCGGTCAGAGGATTCATGCACTTATAAAATAGAAGACTACTTCAGGCCCCCCAGCTGGGGCTCCCAGTGTCCCCACCAGTGGCTCCAGTCCTTTCCCTGAGACACTCAAGATCTCTCAATGACCCAGCAGTTAAAAAGTCAGTACCTGGCACAGTAAGGGCTCAACTCCCACGGTTCTGATTGGTCGGTGCCTGGGCCTGTAGGTTAGTGCTCACCCCTGGACATTACAGAACTGAAATACTGGAGAGGGGCACAGTTCACTCAGATATCACAGTAAAAGGCTGTTCCCATAAGATGTTGCAAAGGAAGTGCCCCTTTGCCCCTCCCTCATCTTGCTGAAAATTTTATACCATCTATGTTGCAAAACAAAGTGAGTTTGATTCAGACTTCCCCATTCGGACGTCCTTATTTAAATGGCTGCCAGAATGTTTATTTCCGTAGAACGAATTCCTTTTAGGGATTTGACTGGCACGAGAGCCCCTGTGCACTCTGGTCATCCCCGCTCCAAATATACACAGCTGAGGCTGCAGGAGCCCAACGGCCAGAACTGGGGTGAGGCAGCCGGGGGCTGGGAGGTCTCCTGTCTTCATGCTATCTCCCTGCCCCCTGCAGAGCTGGCCAAGAAGTACCTGCAGCTGCTGAGGACTTCTGCCCGGCAGCGCTATGGCGACAAGCTCCCGGGGCCAGGACAGCCCTTCTCTTCCCGCCAGGCCTACGTCCCCCCAATCCTGCAGTGGAGCCGGACCACAGCACCCTTCGACACTCAGGAAGGGGTTATGATGGGAGACCCCAAGACAGAAGATGGTGCTGACATGAGTATCTGGGACCTCGTCAACACTAGGGCCGAAAAAGGCCCAAGGGTGACGGTGCTCCTGGGGAAGGCCGGCATGGGCAAGACCACGCTGGCCCGCCGGCTCTGCCAGGGCTGGGCTGATGGCCACCTGCACCGCTTCCAGGCCCTGTTCTTTTTCGAATTCCGCCAGCTCAATCTGGTTACCAGTTTCCTGACTCTGCCCCAGCTCCTTTTTGATCTGTACCTGAGCCCCGAGGCAGGCCGCGATGCCGTCTTCCAGTACCTGGAGGAAAATGCTAATGAGGTCCTGCTCATCTTCGATGGGCTGGAGGAGGCCCTCGCCTCCTGTTCCAGTGGGGAGACTGTAGGCCCTGAGGACCCAGGTTCAGCCCTCGCCCTCTTCGCCAGCCTCTGCCGTGGGAAACTCCTGCCTGGCTGCTGGGTCATTGCCACCTCCCGTCCGGGGAAGCTGCCAGCCTGCCTGCCCACAGAGGCAGCCATAGTCCACATGTGGGGCTTTGATGGGCCCCGGGTGGAGGAGTATGTGGGCCGCTTCTTCAGTGACGAGCTGTTGCAGAAGTCGGCTCTAGCAGAACTGCGAGCAAATAGACATCTCCAGAGCATGTGCGCGGTGCCTGCCCTGTGCCAAGTCGCCTGCCTTTGCCTCTGCCGTCTGCTTCCGGGCAGCTCTCCAGGCCAGTCTTCAGCTCTCCTGTCCACTGTGACTCAAAACTATGTACAGATGGTGCTCACCCTCAACCCCCGTGGATACCTGAATGCTGAATCCCTGCTGGGCCTCAGTGAGTTGGCCCTGTTGGGCTTGCAGACTGGGAAGGTTATCTTCTCTGCAGGAGACATTCCTCCGTCCATGATGGTCTTTGGAATTGCTCGTGGCCTGCTGACCTCCTTCTGCATCTATACAGGCCCTGGGCACCAGGAGACAGTCTATGCCTTCACCCACCACAGCCTGCAGGAGTTTTTTGCTGCCCTGCACCTGATGGCCAGCCCCAAGGTGGATAAAGACACACTCGTCCGCTACGTTACCCTCAATTCTCGCTGGCTACTGCGGACCAAATCTAGACCGGGCCTCTTAGACCACCTCCCCACCTTCCTGGCAGGTCTGGCATCCCGTGCCTGCCATTCCTTCCTCAGCCGCTTGATGCAGAAGGATGAGGTGTGGGTGGGTACCAAGCAGGCTGCAGTCGTACAGGCATTGAGGAAGTTGGCCACCCGCAGGCTCACAGGACCAAAGGTTGTAGAATTATGTCACTGTGTGGGTGAGACACAGGAAGCTGAACTGGCTGGTCTCATGGCCCAAAGCCTCCCTGATCAACTGCCCTTCCACAATTTCCCATTGACCTACGTTGACCTGGCTGCCCTGACCAACATCCTCAGGCACAGGGATGCCCCTATCCACCTGGATTTTGAGGGCTGCCCCCCGGAGCCCCGCTGCCCTGAGGCCTTGGCAGGCTGTGGGAAGGTGGAGAATCTCAGGTGAGAGGAAGGGCAGGGTAGGACTGGGGAGGACCAGGGAGCTCTTGGGAGAGTGGAGGCCAACCAGTCTGGGAGACCCCTGCTGAGGGAGACGGGGTAAAAATCTTACATATCAGAACAGATAGACCCTTCCAGCACCTTAGTCTGTGACACAGTAAGGAATCTCCATGCCTCCCAGGACCTCTGGGGTCTGATTGGATCTCCTCTTGCCATGGTTTCCAGACTTTGTCTCTGTCTCTGTCTCTGTCTCTCTGTCTCTGTCTGTCTCTGTCTCTTTCTCTCTCTCTCTCATCGTGGGATGGATGGAGCCTCCGATCCAAGCTGTTCTGCTAGAGGCTCTTTGACTTAAAGCAGGTTATTTAACTTCTCAGCCCGAGTTTCTTCATCTCTCGAACGTCTCATTAATAATACCTACTTTATTGGGCTGTGAGGATGAGATGAGATAATGCATGAAAAACACTTCTTAGCATCGTTCCTGGCACACAATAAAGGCTCAATATGTGTAGTAGCTACAGAAAAATCTAGGTTGCAGTTACAAAGGACCCTCCGCCCCCCAAAACTACAGTGGATTAAATACTGTAGCATTTTATTTCACTCTCACGGAAGAGTCAGCGTCCAGGTCAGTGGGATAGCTCAGCTCCATGTGGTCATAGCTCAGCTCCATCTGTGTTCTGGCCTGAGGGAAGAGAAAGACCATGGATTAGGTGCACCGAATGTGTTAAAGATCAGTCCTAGAAATAGGGCACATCCCTCCACTCCCATTCCAGCGGTGAGAACATAGTCATATGGCCATACTGAGCTGCAAGGGAGGCTGGGAAATGCCATCTCTGGCTGGGAAACCATATTCCCAGTTGTATATTGCTCTATACATAGAGAATGGGTTTTAGTGGACAATTTGCAGTCTCTGCCATAATATGTATTTGTTACTCCTACAACCATTACAACAACAGCAACAACAACTATTACTAACACTATTAGCATTACTATAGTCAGTTCCATCGGTCAGAGGAGGGGGGTGGGTCATGATCTCTAAGCCGTGCCCAGCATTGATCCTCTGCCACCTTGCCTCTTCCTGTGGCAGCTTTAAGAGCAGAAAGTGTGGGGATGCCTTTGCAGAAGCCCTCTCCAGAAGCTTGCCAACAATGGGGAGCCTGAAGAAGCTGGGGTGAGCCAGGGCTTAGAACCAAGAGGGATTCTCAACTGGTGATGCCTGGAACTCTCCTCCCTTCCCTCAGCCCTACACAGGGTGGATTCTGGGCCTGTCCCCCTTTCCATCCCCATTTCTCCCCACCATCTCTGCTTACCCTATAGGTTAGCAGGAAGTAAGATTACTGCCCGAGGCATCAGCCACCTGGTACAGGCTTTACCCTCCTGTCCATACCTGGAAGAAGTCAGGTGAGTGATCTTCTCCAAAAGGACTAACTGGCTGGGGGAAGAGGTCACTGCCCAGGTCTTGTATAGTCCATCAGGATCTGGCCAGTAGTTTTCAATGAGACTCAGAGAGGGGAAGCATCAGTCCAAGAGCTGGGTGGGGCTGGATCCAAACACCAGGCTCCCAAAGGCCCCAGAGCAGTGCTTCTCTCATCTAATATTTTGAACCATCTCAAAGGAGCTTGAGTTTTGAGGTCCCCTTCTTCCCTCTTTCTGTGATCCTGAGAGAAGGGATAGCAATGTATAGGCAGGTGGCAGGCACTATGGGTGCACACAAATGCATGAAACACACACATCCCTTCACATGCGTGCACATATGAGTACACACTTGCACTTGTCTGTTCATTTAAGTATATGTTTCACGTCCATGCATATTCCTAGGTGTGCACATGTGCAGCATACACATGCATGCACACTTAGATCCACATACACATCTAAGTACCTATGCTCAAATATGCTTCCGCCCTGTGTCTGATGAGTGGCCTGAGAAGGGTGGGGCCCAGGCGCTTCCTCAGCAGCTCACTGGCAGAACGACTGCCAGCTGGCACCTTTGTGAGATTTAGAAAAGGTGCCTCCAGCGCTAGGGGGCACTGCTTGCTGAGTGGAGCATCGGCTGGACTACGGCTCCGCTCTGTCCTCTCGATTGCATGTCTTTGTGCGTGATCGCTCTGGGTGATGAGAGAAAAGATTGAGGTCACTGTCAATAATCAGGAAAGAAAAGTTAATGTTGACGAGTTTAATATTTCCGAACTTTCTCCTGACCAGAGTGCTCACACGTAAAGGCATCCTTGCACTCTTCAGTTCTTCTGTCCCTCCAGCTAGGAACCCAGGCAGAGCTGGGTTGTGGACTCCATTTGACAAGTGGAGAATTGAGATCAGAAAGGAATGTACTGGGCCTAGGGCTCTGAGTGGATCAAGAAGTGGCATCTTCAGCATTCCAGCCTAAACTGCTCATCACCTGGGAGCCAAGAGGCCCTAATGAACTTGAGCCTCAAGCACTCAGACATTGCCCCGAGAGCAGGATGCTGGGTCTCTTCATCCCACCTCATGGATGCCATCTGAATCCTTGGGCCTCCAAGCAAGAATTCCCCCTAGGGGGCTGAATAGGGCCAGAAGCGAGGCCAGCAGAGGGCCCTTCCTCCTAGCTTGGCCGGTTGGATACTGTCGAGCAGGTCACCAACTCCTTCTGGGCCCCTGTCTTGTGTCTCCGGCAATGAGGGTGGCGATGCCTGTCACCTGCCTACTGGGGCTTCTAAGTACCCCTCACCCCAGGACTGAGAGTTCGGGCTTTGGTGTCCCTGCAGCTTTCAAGACAACCAGCTCAAGGACCAGGAGGTGCTGAACATTGTGGAGGTTCTCTCCTGCCTGCCACAGCTCCGAAAACTTGAGTAAGCAGCCTTTCCACCACCCCTGCCTGAGTCACCCTCGTCCCTTGGAGAGCAAAGGTCTGGGGCCCATGGGATAGGGGATTCACTCCTGGCATCTTTGCCACAATCATGTAGTCTAAGCCGCAACAATGTCTCCGTGACGACCCTACTCTGCTTGACAAAGGTGGCAGTCACACGTCCTTCCATCAAGATGCTGCAAGTGAGGTGAGCAGGAGTGGGAGCCTGGCCTTCAGAGTCTCAAGAAAAGGGAGGGGGTGGGAAGGACTAACAGATGGATAGATGAAGGAATGAATCAACAAATCTAGGAAGCACAAGCATAGCCCGAGGAATGAGCCATGTGTCTCTCTCCATGGTGCTGAACTAGCATTGCCTGTTTGGATCATGGGGTAGGTTAAATGTCATACCTCTTAATTCTAAAACAAGGTAACTCCTATAAAACCTCTCAGCGTTCCTAATTTTTATTATCTTTTTTGTAAACGTTGGTTTTTGTTTTTGTTTTTGTTTTTGTTTTGTTTTTTACTTTTCGAAACACTCGGGATTCATCAAACAATGACATAGTCACCATTTTACATGTCTGGTTTGGAGCACTTTTCCCAGTTTTGTTGTTCCTCATCAGTCACAAAATCAGCTTTCTCTGGCTGTTTGGGACATCAAGGGGTGCACAGGTAGGGGTGATATGCTGGTTTCCAGTCCATGGGTTTCATGACTCGGTGTCTGACCCTGCAGGAAGGAGGACCTCGTCTTTCTTCTCTCCCCGCCCACTGAGAGAGCTGCAGAGCCGCAAGGGTAAGAAGTTAAGGAGGGGGAGGGTCTGAGCTCATCCCGAGAAGCAACCTGGGCAGTTTGGAAAGGTGGCTGAGGGAGCTTAGGAAGAGGTGGAATGTGGAGATTCTTCTTGCTACTGCTGCCCTGAGAAGTGGCTTAGCTCTCAGAGCTGGCAAAGGACGTTAGCTTCTTCTAGTGTCTCTGGACCACATCTGACTCCTGTGATGAGGGAGCATCCCTAGAAGTATCAGAGTGAGTCAGACCCTTAGGGGGACATGAAGATACTGCTAGGTTGGCATTACTATGTAGGTAAAACTCTTCTAACTAAAAGGAAGAAAGAAGAGGAGGAGAGGTGGGGAAGGAGGA